CAAGGAAAAATCTTAGCCTTTTTTTTTCTTTTCTTTTTAGGTGCTAGCATTTTTGAAGGGCAACTCTTTGGACTTTCCTCTAAAGATAAGGACTCTGATCCCTATCTTTTGTTAAGACCACCCCTACCATAGGCACACACAAAGCGGGCATGGGAGTCTGGGAGCCATTGGTTCAATGTTATACTGTGTGAGTCAGCATCACAGAAACAGAACTTTCCAAACCTCCAAATTTATAATAATAGCAGTATTAATAATAGTCTCCCTGTAGTTTTCTAAGTGTTTTCACAGCTCACATTTATTCTTCACAACAACTTTGCAGGGAGTTTGGGTAAGTCAGTCTCAAGGGAGCAGATGTGAGCTCCAACCTAGCTCTGCCATCCACTTGCTGTAGGACTCTGCCTGGCTATCTATCCACTCTGGACCTCAGTGTCCTCAGCCACTGCAGAACTGGGTTATAACATTTCCAAAATCTCTGCCACCTGTAATATGCTGCTGGGCTCCAGTCTTGGTACCACTGACATCTGGGGCCAGATAATTAGGTGTGCGGGGGCTTTCTGTGCACTGAAGGATGTTTAGCAGCATCCTAGCCTTTCTCCCACATGGTGATGATTGTAGCATCCTTTACTCCAAGTGTGGCAATACATATTATCTCTAGACACTGCCAAAAGTCTGGGTGGTGTAGGCTAAGAAACCTCTCCAGTCACTGCCTAGGGGCTTCGGTGAGGTCAAGATCGTGAGTAGCTGGTGGAGCAAAGGTCTTTCTATCCTATCCTCTTCTCTAACCCCTTTACACCTTTTGTACATGTTTCAAACCCAATCTCACAGTCCTCTGCTACTTCTTATTTCTTAAATGCCCTAAGTGGTCCAGAGTGTGTTTGGTGTGATAATGAACCAATTGATTTCATACTTTCTCCTAAGGAGAGTTCACACGTTTATATGTCCCCTAAGCAACCAGCCAGACTCTTCAGAAACCCAGAGCCGAGTCCAGGCTGGCCTGGAAGCCTATCTGCAGCCTGCAGGAGGCTCGGTGAGCATGGATTTGTCAGCACTCTTAAATCACTGGGCTCTGAGGAAGGCTTCTCCCAGCAGAAAGATCCTTCCTCAGGAATCAATAGCTCAGGGCCTTCCATCACATTCAGAATTATCCTGGGAACTGTAAAATTTCTTTTCCCCGAGCATGGCAGAATCCCAAAGTGAAAATCCAGCTTTGGGCCAGAGAAGAAGGCAAGGGGAATACCTGCCAGTCAGACTTTGTTCATCAGCCTCTATGTCACCATGACCAGAAGCTGATGTGCAAACTCGACACTTGGCCTTAGCTGTAGGAGAAAAAGATCCCATGCAGTTCTCAGTGATCCAGCACTAACAGCCCCTTCCGAATGACTAGCTCTCTGCATCACATCTAAGGAGATGAATCCCAAAGACCATCTCCCCCGCCTCTGCTCACCTACCCTCCCAGGGAGATCTTATTTATATTCTTCCTATACTGAATTAATTAATACTCCCCTGACCTCATCTAGAACCAGACCAAGGCTGCCAAGACTGAGGACATTTCTCCAGTTAAATCGAGGTGGCCGTCAGCAATCTCAAGTACAGCTCTCAGAGTCCCACTAAGGGCTGTGGCTCCCTGGTGGCCCACATTATCTTCACTTCCCGCTCTTATAGATGAAGACCCATCTTGTCTGTGAGCCTGGAGAGATGAACAATCGTAAGCATTTTCCTTGGCAACACACATCCATTGGGTGACTCTTAGAGATAGGGGTGGGTTCTGCTTCTCAGAATTCTGGATTGACAGCAGGATCCTTTGTGAAGACAGGCCACCAAGTCTGCCAAGGCTCCACGAGGGACCCCATGAAGTTGATACAGTAATGTAAAGAAACTGGATGGTAGCATAAAACAGAGGGTCAGCCATGGGCCCAGCAGACCCACAGAACAGAAGAACACCAGGAATGAGAGCATTGTCGAGGTCCCCAGATGCCAGAAGAGGAGGGATTTATTGAGACTAGAGCCTTCCGTACTCTGACCTTGAGCTAGGAGCAGCAAGGATGGAGGGCATTGGGAAACACTCTTTGGAGTTCTCTAGTTCATCTGGGATCTAAGTTTGAGAAGTCCACCCCCAGCAGAGGTTTGACTGCAGGACAGAGTGGCCATGCTCTACTATGTTTTAGAGGATGTCTAAGCCTTGGCTTAGGTGCTAAGACTATCTGGTGATAGCCTGAGCATTTATAACTCCATTACATGGAGTTGCACAGCTTTTGTCTAAAGACTACTTAGAACAGTAAGACAAGACAACGCGGTAAGGAGAACGGGTAACTTGGAATTCCTATGACCTGTGAATGTTCATTACGAGAACTTTTATCTTCTCTTGCCTTCCTTGCAAAGAAAATTTCCCTAAATTTTTAAAGCTATTAGTATATCCAAGTCTGGTCTGCCAGTAATTACCAGTGCCTACTGTGTAGTGAGCATATGTCTATTTTCTCAGCACAGAAGAAGCAGGTCACTGGAGTGGAGAAAGCTCCAAACAGGGAACTAGGAATTGTGGGGTTTGGCCCCATCTCTTCCACCAAACAGCCATGTGACCTTGGGCAAGACACTTGTTTTACTACAGCTGTATTATCTGTGTACATGAGAATGTTAGGGCCAGGTGAGGTGGACTAGATGCCCCCCACCCCCAGCCAAGGTCCCTTTCTCCGAGTGTTGACATTCTTGGGTTCCCAGAATTCAAAGACTACATGGATACCAAACAGAAAAACAGAAAACAATGATTTCCAACAGCAGGTAGAGCTATGTATCAGTTCTGTCTCCCAGGAATATAGTGCCTCACCCACCCCACTACATCTGGGGTCGCAGGACCAGCTGAAGTCAACAAGACATGTGGTGGAAGGGTCTGGATCACAACAATTCTCAGCCACAATGGATGATTGTTGGGGGTTGTGGCCTGAGCTTGCTCAAACCATTCCTATGGCCAGTGAAGGGTAAGAAGTGAGAAAGTCACTAGTCCTGAGCTAGGTGCTTTTGGCGCCCCCTACTGGATACCAAGGAGCCTGTTCCACCTCCAAGCTTCCACTGACTTCGCAGGCAGCAAGGAAGCTTGAGGACCAACTCAGGTGGTCACAAGCTGTATAACAGAACCCCTTCCTGGTTGGTGGTCCATTCTCTCTATAAGATTCTGTGTTTTACTCCCTAGTATTACAACAAGCCATTGGCCTGCTCATTCACACCGGCTACCTTAACCAAACATCCTGGTGTCAAACAGTAAATATTGGGGTTCAGAACACCAGGTGCAGCCCAGATGGAGAAAGGAAGAAAGAGCAACAAGCAGGTATTTCACTGCACAAATCCCTAGCAGAAAGAGGGTCTTGGGAAAGGCAGCAGAGAAATGTTGACTGCAGGAAAACAGAGAAGGGTGCTGGGGGGTTGGACATGAATTGGTAACCCCTATAAGATCATTGTGCAAAAGCAGGTATCCAGGGAGTTGAACACACCCCATGGGTAGGCCTGGGGGTATGGTGAAGGATACAGCCCCAATGCATTGGCTGAAGAGCTGATAACCTCCAGCAGCTCCAATCTTCTCCAGAGTCCATCAGCACCAACTGGAAACTAACGAATTTTAATCATGGCCCTCTAGGCCAACCAGCACCAAGGACTAAATTCCCTTCATTGCCTACTAAATCGGCTTAGAACCTGCCTCCAGAAGGTTTTTTAACCAAGACAGAAAGAGAGAGAAAACTGCTTCCTTGAACACCATATTGGGACCACTGCCATGTTTCCACTTTGACCCTCCGCTGCTTCGTCTCCGCGCCTGAGAGCAAGAGGAGCTGTTCAAGTGTCTGGATTTGCTTTAATTCAATGGGAGTATTTCTGTCCCAAGTTATCACGGTTTCAAATCTCCCCTGATAGCTTTCCCCAGGAGTTCTCCCGGGCTCAAGTCAGCACCACAGAGCTGTCCCCTACTCTGGGAAGCTTGCTTCCTTTTCCACCTGGCCTCATTTGCGAAGTCCTGCTCCTATCCCAGGTGCCTCAAGTGCAACTCGTGAATGCTTCCTGGAGAACTGAAGCTTCTTTCTGGGAGGCACAGAAGCCCGGTAGGTGAACCCACCCAATAACAATAGTATACATTAGTCATTCGAGGAGGAAGCCCCCCACCTACACCCTTAGGGAGGCTCCCATCCCGACTGGGATGACTTTGGATTCTTTAGTTGGGTTCTGCAGAAGCGGGACTAACCAGGGCTCTTAACTACTGTACTGCAAAAGAAGCACGCTGCATTGCTGGGCATGTCCCCAAGCCTGCCTGTCGCCCCACCAAAACCTCTATGTGCTTCCATGAGACCAAGGGAGACCCCATGGTTCCCCTAGAATGCCGGAAAACAGCTTGTCAGATACAGCCCTAACCAGAAAGCCAGACCACACCTCGGTCCAGCAAAAGGAGGTTGGCAGCTACACCGTGCACCGGGGCTGGCTCCGGGAGCACTCTGCCACCCAGTGCTGTGCTTGAGGAGACAGCTCGGCTTCCCCGGAGAAGAGCTATGCCCCCCGAGGGATCTTCCCCAACCTGGAAACGTTGGCAGTCGGCCGAGACCCCTCGGCCCCAAGCTGAGCTTGCCTGGCTGGGTGACTCCCCCTGTATCCGCTGCACAGCCTTCACCTGCTCCACCCCCTCCTAACCCCACTGCCCCTTTCTCAAAGTGCTGACCTCCATCCACTGTACCCCTAACCAGTTCTCGGCCAACTGCGGGCTGTCACCCCCACACCTCGGCTCCCATCTCTTCCACCACCTCCAACCCAGCTCCCTCCTCGCCCCCAGCCCGCGGGGAGGATCTGCGCGCCAATCGAGTCCAGCGTCTCTTGGCAAGTTGGGAGCAGTGCCGCCGCCTTCGCGGACCCGATCTTCCCAGGTCCCCAGCTGCATCCCCGCCACCCCCTCGGGGCGTACGGGGAGGGGCGCTGGGCTGGAGAAACTTTCTCCGCCGGAAGGGGTGGGGGCTCCAGGAGCCGATACTTACACTCAGGTCAGCGCTCGGAGCCATCCTCTGGCTCTCTTAGCCCCACCGCCTGGGGGCGTGGGAGAGCGGGCTCTCGCTGCCGCCTCTGCCGCCGGCGCCGCCGCCTTGCAGCGCCCAGCCCTGGTCCCGGGCTGGTCTCGAGCCTCCCGCCCCGACGCCGCGCGCTCGCTTTATACAACTCCACTCGAGCGCGCCCGGGCTTATGTAAAGGCTGGCGGATGCCCGCAGCCAATGGCACGGCAGCTGGTGCCGGGGCCCAAGCTTGGGGGGCGCACGCGCGGCCAATCGCGGCCCGGGGAGCCCGGGGAGCCGGGTGGGGGAAGGGGCGCCTCCCCGCGCTGATTTAGGAGCCGGGATTGCGGTGGCAGCAGCCGGCAGCCTGGCTGGCCCGGCGCGGCGGGCACTGGGGTGGGCGGCGGCGCGGGCGGCGGCGAGGGCGGGTGCCCCAGTGCTCTGCCGCGCCCCACCGCCGCGCCGCGTAACCTTCAGGAGGCAGCGGGGCCTGGCGAGTGGGGAGAGGGCGCCTTGGAGGGGCGCTAGGGACCGGGCGGGCGGGAGGCAGATGTCCCTAGGGAGGGTGCGCGGGGAAGGTAGTGCAAATGGGGGAGGGGAGGCCGGCGAGCCCAGGACCCCGCAGCCACCCTGCGCACAGGGCGGGAGTGGCGGCGGCGCTGCCTTCTCTCTGCTTCGCAGATAGCGATCTGGCGTCTCCAGGGCCCGGCCGGAGCGGCCACGCGAGCCACGCTGATGGCGAGATTTCTCGCTGCGGAGCGAGCTCCGAGTCGATCTTTATCCAGCCTGGGGACGTGTCCGAGCGCCTCCCGGGGGCTGCTCAGTATGGGGAACAGAGCTTCACCACGGTCCCAGCGGGCGGAGAGCAAGCGAGCACGGCTCAGCGGTCAGGCACGGCGGCCCAGACGACTGTGGGCAGCGTCTGCTCCCCAACATCCGCGCCCCCGCTCCGCGAGCTGAGTCCTCACCCCACCTAGCCCTCAGCACCCACAGGGGTTGAGCCTGACCCACCTGCTTTGCCCACACGAACAGCTACTGCTTGCTCTCTCTTCATTGCCACCAGCTGGCTCAGCTGGGCGCGATGGCTTTGGTCTCTCTGGTCCAAGGGTAGTTCTGGGAGGGCGACTAAGATGGAGAAGAGTGGCTTGGTCAGCAGCACCTCAAATACAGGTCGGTGCCTGGGGCAGGAAACCAACTGAGGTCAACAACAATGACAGGACCCTTCTTTTACATTTACAATAGAACCAGCCACATAGTAGGTGCTCAGCAAGAACTTAGTGAATTTTGACATTCCGTGAATAGGCCCGGTGGGTTTCAGAAACCCAGACACAGGGCTTCGGAGGAGAAGTATCTGGAAATCTACTGTCCGAGGGAGAAGGAGCTGAGACCGTTTACTCAGTTCCAAAGGCTTTTGTGACCATTACTCACTAACTAGCCTGCCTTCTGTGCTTGACTCTTAAAAGGACTCCGATGAGGGTTCTGCTACAGAGGGCCCTGCCAACCAGTTCCTGGCTGGACCCAGTTATCCACAGATACTGATCAGAACTGTCAGCCCTGTTTGAAAGTATTTGTGCTTTCCTCTTAAAAGCAGTAGCTAAGCATAGACAAAGCTGGTCTCTCGGGCTGTGGAGGAGCTCAGGTTCTTAACCCTCCATGGCGGGGAACCTTTGAGAACTTGGCAAAAGTTACTGAAGTCTTCTGGAAAAGTTGGCAAACATTCACACTCAGGTGGCTTTTGAGTATAATTTCAGGATCTTTAGGAATCACAAGTCTTTGGGTGCTCTCTCCATTTTCTACCCGATTCTCCGGGGTTCTAGGCCAGTGACTTATAGTCATCCTCTAGGGATCAGGGAGTGTTCCCAGCCTGATGAATGTGTGGATGTGCATCTCAGAAAGATGCTGTCTCATACACACAAGGGGATGTGGGGAATTGTTAGAACTCCACATTAATACTCCAGCAGCAAGTAGCCTCCCTCCCAAGAGCACTTCTGGTCCCTAGCTCCCTCCATAAGGACAACAGTAGGCTCTGCAGTCTGATGGATCACACCACCACCGGTGCTGAGGACATCTGCATCCTGTGGCTGTGGTCCTGGCACTTGAGAGACTGTCTCCACACTTGTCCTCTGAGGCTTATCCCTGCCACCCTCTTTACGTGGAAATAAGTAGCAGGTTGTCAGATCCTGTCTAATCGGCAAGGGTTCCTTAGCCAGAAACTCCAACTCAAGGAGACAGCAAGTGACTGGTAATTAGCCAGCCTCACTCAATCCCAAGCATCATCTGAACACACCTTTCTTGGTTCTGTTCTCACCTCGCTCTCTCTGCCTGGGAAGCTGTGAGCAGCAGTCCCAGCTGTGGTGACTCACCTAACCCTGACAGATTTAGTAACCAGTGCGGTAATTATCAGCATCAGCCATCCAGATGTGACTAGGTAGTTGGTGCAAAGCAACTCACGGTTCCCGCCGCCGCCGCTGCTAGCCAGGTGAGGGGAGAGCAGAGCAAAGGTGCTGGGGAAGGATGGAGAAATGGGAGAGTGACAGGTGTTCCACTCGGGGAGTCCTTCAAGGAATGGGCTGGTCCTAGAATTTCTAATTCTTCTGATGTTGTCCATGTCTGGAAGCCCTTGAAGCCAGGGTGTTTTAGAATTCAGAGAGATGCCAAACATGTTGCGCCACCCTGTGAGGTCTGGAGTCGCATCTGAAAATCAGACACATCCATATTTCCGCAATGAAATGTCAGGGCTTCTAGAGTGAGGGTGAGGGTAGGGTGGTTTCGCGTCAGTTTAGGTCAGGATTCATCTCCAGGTGAGTTGCAGCACCAAACTAGCAAAACCCCAAAGGAATCCCAAGCATTTAGACACTGGGGGATTTGGACATCTGAAACTGCAGACAGGGACTGTGTTTTAGACTGCTGGTTCCTGAAGAAATGAATTCTTTGTGAGGGTTGCAGAAGCAGCAGCAGTGGATGGGAAACCACATACTGTGACATGCTTTTCAGGGATGTGAGGATGTAACCCCCTTTTCAAACCAAGCCACTTTCGGCACGTCCTCTTTTTTCAGGGAGTGCACATGTGTCACGTGTCAACAGTATGCTACGAGTGACAGGTGGGCAGAAAGAGCTTTTGTCTGGGATGAAAACAGACAGGAAGTCTTCTTGTAGAGATGCCTCAGCCCCTGGGGGGGGCAGTTTGTTCTAGGGGTGTAACTGTGGTGGGCACAGAGAGGAATCTTCTGTGTTAGCTCAGGACAACTGAAGGACAGCTAGAGGCAAACTCTTCCAGGCAGGCTACAGACCAGAGAGGCAGGCAAGAAACAGGGAGATGCTACAGAGTCCTGGGGACAGGTGGGTATCAAGGTCAGAGCTGCTTGGGACTGGGTAGAAGCCTGGGACAATTGGAGGAAGCATGTGGGCACAGTGTTCTTCCCAGCATAGGTCCTGGTTGCTCACCCACCTATGTGTGGAATATGCTTTGGGGGTTCCTCCATGTTGCAGTTAAAATGACTCTGCAACCCAAGGGGCTGGATGAAGATGGAGACAGGGAAAGCCCCGGGAAACCTTTGTCTACACAGTTCTCTGACCCTGTCCCAGTTGCCAAGCCACAAAGGCTCCCCCATGTCAGGGGGCCTCTTTGTAGCTCAAGATCAACATAAGTTTCACATTGAATTTTAAGGTTAGTCTGCTGACCTCTAACCTGCACAGTACCCTTTCCTTCCAACAGAGTTCTGCCTGGCACCGGTCGGTTTAGTAACTGAAGCTCTGTGTTATTGTCTCTTCCTGGTCCTGAGGTTGAGAATTCTGAGATCCTTTCCTTCCCGTGGCTTGCCAAGTCTTTGTCACCGCTGCCCCATGTTTCTGACATCGACTTCCTTCTCATTCCGTGAAGTTCCTCATGCCAGCTCCCTTAGACGTCCTCTAGCTTGGCCTCACCTCTTCTGCCATCAGCTGCCGGGAACTCCTTTCTCCTGTGGTGCTCTGGTGGTCAGGTCTTGCTCCAGGCTCCAGCCCCTCCCGGTCTGGCATCTCCAGCTTCCAGCCCAGCCAGATTCCTAGCGGATATGAGCTCGTGACCCTGGTTTAAAGAAGAAAGCATCAGTTTGTGGAAGCCCGTCCTCATCAGCTAATACCAGGGAGAGCTCTGGGCTGGGGGCACTTTCGGGTTTCATCTTGTAGGAGGAGGAAGTGAACACGAGAGGAAGGTGGAGGAGAGAGGGGAGAAGAATCAGAAAAGAGAAAGGGAAGAGGGACTCCAGCCGAGGGAGGAGAATGTTTGAAGTCTTTTTCCAATGTCTAAACCGAGCCAGTCTTGTGAGCCGCAAAGGGTCAAGCGTTGAAGATGAAAAGAAGACCCAGTGTGTGTGCAAGTGAGAGGAGGGGGCATAGGAAAAGGAGAGGGGAGGGCAGAGCTGGATTCTGCATGAAGGGCTGAATGCAGGAGAACAAAGGCCCGTGTCACCTCACAGAGGAACCTGTGTTTGAAATTCACAAGGGCTATGTTCTGGTTACTCTGCCTTGGGCTCACTAACTAGGGGCTGTTGAGCACCTTTTCGTTCTTCTCTGGTTTGTCCTGAAACACCATCCTCTACCAGACACAGATAAGATGGATTGCAGAAGTTCTGTCCTGCCAGATGCAAGATCAAATAGGGTTATAAGCGCTTTGACAAGGGACATGTCAGGTGGTGTGTGCACAGAACTCAGCAGAGCTCCTGGCCCACAGTAGGTATGCCATAAATGACAACAGTCTTCTCCTATTCCCTTCCTCTGCTCTCTGTGGCCACGAGTCACCTCCTCCCGCCTTTTCTTCCTGGGAGAGACCCCTCAGTTTCATGCCGTCTCCCCAGCCTTTAAGTGTCCAGTGTTCTCGTTTTTCCAGGTCAGGGCTGTGGGTCTTTGAGCCTTCATACAGTCCTACCCCAATCTACTATGACCCTTTAATTTACACGCACTTTATAGAAGAAGACAGTCCTTGTTAATGTGTACCTATGACATGGACACATGTCCAAAAGCTCAGGCAGGGCACGTGCCTTGCCCACAAAAAGCACAGCTAATGAAAGACAGCTGGGATGAAAATTCGGTCTCTTGGGGCTAAATCAGCACATCCTGCACTGTCCAGAACTGAGTAGGTAATTGATTATTTCATGGTGCTATTCTT